GTTATAATTTCTAATCCGAAAAAAGATCAAACATACAATATAATTACTTGCTTTAAAATAATCTAATCTAATCTAATAAGAACAAAATAGATGAAAGTGTTGTGAAAATTATTAATATTTCTTGATATGAAAAAAATTAAATATACAATATAATTAATTTCTTTACAATAATCTAATCTAATCTAATAAGGAAAAAATAACAAAGACAAATATATGTAGAAGGAGATGAAAGTGCATGGAAATTGTTATAGTTTCTTGGCTTTAAACATTGGTATGTGATGTTGCATGTGAGAGGATAACAATTGTAATTAGAGTTCTATTTAAATAATAATAGTATAATTAAACTTTAAAATTAATTATATAGTATCGTGAACTACTTGAATTTTAGTTGGTAAGATCGCCACGTTGTGTCCTCATGTCGCACCCGTTTGTTTTAATTTTTCTTTTTTATAAATTTCAGAACGATTTTGTCTCTTTAATTTGTTTGGTGGATTTTACAAATACCACGTCCACATTATGTACATTTATAGATCTACATTGTTTGGGGGTTCGACCTTTGGGGCGGACATTATTTGTCAAACTAATTTGTTTGGTTTTTCATATACATCATTCATGTTGTATACATTTGTAAATTTGGTATTTAATAATTTTATTTGTGTTTCATTTCAATTTAAACTATATTTTTATCTTCATACTATGTATATCCAATAAGAATTCATCAATTTATCAACTTACTCTTAATGGACTAATTTGAATTTCAAGGGCATTTTTGTCTATCAAAAGATTTTTTCGAACTCGTGCTTTTAAAGAGAGTATGATATGATATATATATATATATATATATATATTATATATATATATGAGAAATATGGGTATGCTTGGTACCAAGCATAAATTTTGTGCTTGGTAGTGAGGTAGCACAATCCCCCCACTCATTCAAATGGGGGATCACATTCACATGGGTTAAAGAGTGTATGAGGATATGTAACTATTTGAATGGGTGGAGAGGATTATGTCACCTCACTACCAAGCACAACTTTTTGTGCTTGGTACCAAACATACCTATCTCTCTCTCTCTCTCTCTATAACTCTCTATCCTTCCCATAATTTGTTGTGCTATTACGGATATCAAAACCTCCGACCTTTCCGTAATTTTTGTAGAATTTTTCAGCTTCTTCTAAATTGTCGAAAGTCATTTCTATTTTTGGTTTTAGGTGCTCATCAACAATTGGCACAACTAAGTCATCAACAACATGGGAGCAACCATCTTCAGTTTCTATTGGATCAGACATCAAGAACAATTTTTACCTACAAAAATTAACATCAACAACAAACATCAAGAACAAACAAAACAATTGTAACCTAAATGCATTGGACTAAGACAGAAATCTATACTCGCAAAAGTAAATACATATTTCATTTATTTATGAGCCTACAGCTAAATAGCACCGTCACAGGAGACTACAAATGTGAAGACCCACTACTGTAGTAGTTATGAAATCCTAAAGGAATGCAAGGTTCAGCGAAATTTTCTACATTTATTCTGTCCAGATAATCTTTTCTCAATCTGTTAGTATGAACAGAGATTGTACCAATTGAGACATTAATATTTGACTGAGACCGCGCAGACCCAAGAAACTAACTCATTAATTTTACATTCTCTAGATTGTCTTAACACCAAGCTATAAATCTACTCACTTTCTGGACCAGGCAGAATGGCTAGTTACATTCTCTAATTTTTCAAGCAAGAAGTCTTAACACCAAGCTATAAATCAAAATTAGGGTTAAAGTTTCCCCAAATCAAGCAAGAAGATGAAAACGCACCTGATTCAAGCGAGAGGGTTTGGGTTCTGCGGAGATCGACGGCGAGAGGGCGTCGGCTCTGATCGACGGCGAGATGGTTTCACCAAGAGCCGTCGGCGCTGATCGACGGCTGAGAGAGTCTCTCTCTGCGGAGCTCGACGGCGTTCAGGCGTCGGAGCAGCTGGACGCTTGAATCAGGGTGTTGTATTTAGCACCGTCGGGTCGACGGCGAGAAGGGAGGAGAGGGCTCTGGGGGTCGGAGGAGAGTCGGAAGAGAGAGAGAGAGCTCTGGGGTCGGAGTCTGGGGATCTGAACAACAAAGTCACGAGATCGCATCTTTAAAAAGTGAATTTATTGAATGGGAGAATCTAAGCCGTTCACTGCTATCGGACGGCTGTTGGTGTTTTTCGCACAGTAAACCGTGCGAAAACTTTTCGCATCTGAAAAGTTCTCTATATATATAAACATTAATAAAATAAACTACATATAATTTCAAATTGTATTATACTTAATTGCATCCTATGATTGAAAATTATTGGAGCTTTTCTTATATTTTGATTATCTTTGTTTTATTCATTGCATATGAAAAATTACTTTTAATTGTAGTATTATATAATTTGTTCAATATCATTATTTCCAAGCAGCGACATGTTTTCTAACCTCAATAAGCCGGAGGGTGGGGTTGCCGTGCTTCAAAGGGGGGTGAGTCAGTAAATCTTTGAAATTCTATCCAAGATACAATTGATTGAAACAATAAAGTATATAAGTGAATTGCTTAAGTTGATTGAGGCTCCTATCCACCAATGTTTTTAACCAGTGGATTAAGTTAATTGCTTAAGATCTTAATCAGATGACATGACATGAATTTATTGTGGAAGAGTACTTTTGGCAAAATTAAACACAAAATTCGTAAAGATATAAAAAAAATCTCTGAAGTTTTTTCTCTACAGTAGAAAACAAAACTAGATCTCGTAGAAAACCAAAAGCTTTATGACTTTCAACCGACTTTCAATTAGAAGCTCTCCGACTCGATGAAATATCTACAAGTTCTTTGACGTCCATTCCCTCCCTTGTCGGGCATACCGCCTTCCTGCCACTACTGCCACCCTACTATAAACCTACATTTATCAATCACACCCTATATCAAATGAAAAGAACAACAACAAGAGCAATAGCGCATGCCTATCTCTAACTCAATATCCAGGCTTGCTAATTACAGTGGCATTCGTGCTCCTAGTGAGGTGATGGAAAGGGTGGGTCTTGCGCTTGCAGCGAGGCTCTGGAAATATAGGGGCTCGCGTCACGACGAGTCGGTGAGGGGAAAGGTCGAGGTTTCCTAAGTAAAAGACCAACTTTAAATTTAAAATCAACAAATGATAAGCAAACCAAATAGAGTAGGCGGTGACGGAACAGTCACTCGAATGGAGGTGTGCTCACGGTGGCAGTAGAGTAAGGATAGACGTCACCAAGAGTATTGCTAATAAAAAACCAAATTGAATAGACGGTGACGGAAGAGTCGCTCGATTAAAGGTGTGCCCTTGGTGGCAGCAGAGTAGAGATAGACGCCACCAAGAGTATTGCTAATAAAAGACCAAATTGAATAGACGGTGACGAAAGAGTCGCTCGATTGGAGGTGTGCCCTTGGTGGCAGTAGAGTAGAGATGGACGCCAACAAGAGTACTGTCAAACAGAATGAAGAAGGGAAATGATGATGGTCGAGAGGAAAGGAAAACATCGACGATCAGATGGTAGATAGTGAAGGCAAAAGGATTTTTTTACCGAGCGGGCTGAGAATCTCAAAAACAGAGGAAAGGGACTACAAATCTCTGTCAATTATTTTCTCCTTGTTTTCTTCCCAAAACTACCCTTGCAACAACAAATGATGAGATATTTATTTGATCAAGATTTCAATCAGTCATCTTAATTCAACGGCTAAAAATCTTGGTGGACAAGAGGCTCAATCAACTAAAGTTTACAAGAGCCTT